TGGCGACAACATCCATGTTGTCTGAGTGAAAGGTGATAGGAACGGCGGGAGGGAGGGGGGACTGTAGAGCCCATAGCGCCGCCCAAGTGGCGGCATCGAATTCCGCTTTAGCGGAGACTCTATCTGCTCCCATTGTCTCCGGGGTGGGACACCCTAGGAAGCCTAGAAAGTGTCTAGTGCCGTTAAGCCATGCAAAGACCAGAAAAGCCCACGCTGGTGGGCCAGCGAGATCTCCTTTGGAGGCCCCTCCGCTGGCGTCGGTATATATATCTGCGGAGTCGAAAGCCGCGTAGGGAGTATCAAAGACAAAGCTGTGCCAGGTGGGGATGGAGGAGGAGTGGAGGGCTGGAAAAATGACATCGAAGTCCCTGACCAACTGTATGGAGGTAGCCGTAAGCACCGGTAGCATCCACCTCATGGGCGGAAGTGGGCTGCGGCGTATACCTTGCCGCCCCCCCAGGTTCACCCGTGGGCAGTGTCCGGGGGAGCGACCTGAAAAACCGTGCCGTCGCGCGCTGCCTGGGCTAAATCGTCCTGAGCAGCTTGTGCCGCGTGGGCCTCGGCTTCAGCGCGGAGGTCCGCAGCCTCTGCTTCTGCCATTGCATCTGCAGGGCTGCGTGGGGTAGACGAGGCGGATGCCCCTGCACGCGCCTTTGGCTCAGCCTCGGCTGTCTCGGGCCTGGGGCGACGTGAGCCGCGAGGCTCTTGCTGCGTGCTGCCTGCCTAGCTACAAAATCTTCCTCGCTGATGCCTGAAAGCGCGCGCTGCTCGGCCTGACCCGCACGTGCGGATCTGCCCCTGGCCTGCGCGCTTGCGCTGCGGCGGGAGGATGCCATGGAGACTGGCTCGCCTTTTTCATCTGAGAGGTCCCACCCAAGCTGGCTGGCAGAGCGGGTAGGCGGGGGCATGCCGCCGGGATCCTCTACGGGAGCTGCTGCCGGGCTTTGCTGGTTGATAGCTTCCTCCCTGGCTGAGCTATCTTGAAACGAGGGCGCAGTGGTGATCGCCTCCCCTGTCGGCGACTTGGGCACTGGCGCTGGCCCGGGTTTGGGCACGAAACCTAGGCGGAATAGCGGGCCTGCTTTGGGGGAAGCGCGGGCCCGTTCACATCCTAACGGCGCTGTGGCCCCCCCCCGGACCGTAGCGCCGTGGCTAGAGGCGGCGGCTGGCACTAATTGCCCGGCCTTGATCTGTGAGACTAGGGTGTCCACTGAGTTGCGCATGGCTTGGGCCTGGGAGTCAAAATTTGCCTTGATGGTGGCAACTTCCCTGGCCATGGCCTCGGCGTTGCTTTGCATGGCCGCAGAGAGTGATGTGATGTAAGGCTGTTCCAACCCTTGGATGCCTGGGAGGGGCGCTGGGCAGTGGAGGAGTGGGGGAGAGGTCGGCGCTGCCGTGAGGGGCGTGGCCGTTCCCAGGTCATGTGGGTCGGCTTGCTCCTCACCTGTATGCGTTGCAGAGAGTGCCGCAGTGCGCTGTACTGCACCTGTCTCCTCCGCCGCGTCTCCCATCATGAGCGAGTCGGTGATGGCGGCGACTGGCGGTGCTTGCGACTTGAAATGAGCTAGTAGCATGGCAGCCTGGCGTCCGCTTGTGCGGTCTGAAGGGCCAGGGCAATGTTGCGCACGTGCTCCTCCGCCTGCGTTTGTTTGGCTGCCAATTGCTCACAATTGGCCTGCAGGGAGGCCACCACGTGCTCTTGCTCGCTGATCTTGGCCAGCGGATCCCTCGCGTTGGCCACTTGAAAATTAACTAGTGAAATCTCCTTACGGATCTCGGTGATACGCATATCGGAGTGTCCTAGGAGAGTTGAGGCCCTAAGCTGCAGGATTAGTGCCTCCTTGCTCATTGCAAGGGCCTTGCGGTGCTCCAGCAGGCGGTCAGGCTCAAGCGGGGGGTAAAGCCAGGCTGAGTGAGAGTGCGCCTCGTCTGGAGTAAGGGTAGGGCACTGCGCTGTGAGCTCCGCCTCCGAGAGTTCAGTGGCGGGATCCAGCGCTCCAAGCGAGGCGGGGGCCTGTTCGGCCGCGAGGAAAGGAGACTGCTGTACAGAGGTTGGGCCGAAGAGTGTAGGGGGAGTGGCCACGCCGTCTTGAGGAGGCGCAAAAGGGGAAGGCAGTGACTGGGGAGACTGCCCTATGATGCCTGTGTCCTTGGCCCCGTGTGGGGTGCCAGGAGCCTTCAATGGATGCTGCTCCCCGTCTCTGCGCTGGTACTCGCGAGCTCTACGAGCGTCGTCCTTCTCTCGCTTCTTGCGCTCCTTGCTGGAGATCCCAGCCTCTTGGACCGCATGATCTCCTGGGGGCGCGGGGAGCAGGCCGTATTCCGCTGCCCATGCAGCCACCTGGTCGAAGGACGGCGCACCTGTCGGTGCGTGGCCCTTGCCCTGGTGCGCCCCCCCCGTGCTGCCTGAAAAGGAGCGAGGGCCCTTGTGGCCCGGCCCCGCGCCCCCATCATGCAGGGGCCTGTGCTGCCCCTGACCTTTGGCTGGGCCGACCTTCGCTTGTTGGTGACCTGCTGCCCGAGTCGGAAAACAGTTGGGACATGAGGCATCCAAAGTGGTATTGGCCCGGCCACATTGCAGGCAATACCAGAACTCGGGCGGGGCGCTGCCTTTCTGGTGCACTGGCTGCTGGGGTGGAGGAAAAAAGTCCATGGGAAGGCGCGTGGCATAAAGAGACGGTGAGGGAGGAGCAGCCAAGCGCTGGGTGGGAGAAGTAGCCATACCGTGCTGCTGCAGCCCAGATAGTGGCGCATGCTGAGGGGGTAAGGTAGGAGGAACAGCGCCTTGCTGGGGGATGCCCTGAAAGGAGTGGTGCTGTGAAAGCATCATCGCAGCCTTGTGCACCCTTAAAAGCGTGCGGGCGTTGGCGCGCTGCTTGCGCGCTCTGCGATGAGGAGCGGGCTCGTCGCGAGGCCGCTGGGGATAGGAAGGAGGAGAGTAGGCAGGCGTCGCGCCTGTCAGATGGCGGCCCGATAGGGCGTCGCGGCGGGGATCGGCGCGGAACCGGTTATGCAACCGCTCGAGCCAAACCTAGCAGGAGGAGGAGGGAGGAGGGAGGGGGGAGGGGGGAGGAGGGAGGGGGAAGGAGGGAGGAGGGGCAGAGGAGGTACGAGCGCGTTCCACTACCGGCAAAGTGACTGCTCGCAAATGGCCTGAATCCGCCGCGGGGGACCTACGATCAATTACGTGGAGGCGGACCTACGATTTTCGGACGTGTGCGAGTAGACGCTTTGCGAGTAGTGGAACTCGCTCGGTGAGCAACGCTGCAAGTGCCTCGTCAGAAGTCCGCCACCATCTAGGGTCCAGCCGCGTGCACCACATCCCCTCCCGTGTATCGCTGGGCGCTCCTATGCTTCCCTGAGAGCAAAAGACCTTCCCAAACCCCGAGCCTCGAACCTGCCCGCCCTTCCTGCTGGCCGGAGCCAATGCCGCGCCACCTCAGACCCCCAGACGGCTCCAACCCCCTACAGTCAGGTCGCATAGCAAGCAAGGCTGCCCTTACATCCTTGCCCCGTTGGCCTATCCGTGGCGACTTTCGCTGGCCAACGCCGTTCGACAAAGCCAACATGGCCCTTCAAGGCCGTTGCATCCATACCGCGCATCCTCATTATGCGACTTGATTCTAGCCTCAGGTCGGGCATGTCCCCATACAGGCGGATTTTGGGCGACAAATGAAACATACTCAAACAATACCTCCACATAGTCAAACAACATTAGTCCCCAGACTATTTTTGGACTATTCTTGAGTCCTCCTCTAGAGGGACACGCCCGACTTGATTGTAGCCCTCACCTCCCTCGCGGCCGCCCCCGATGCTGGCGGCCGTGCCGCTCCTCCCTAAAAGGGGCCCGGGGAGACACAAGTAAACAGACACAAACCCCCAATGTATTTCTGATATTTTCTGGAACATCGCATTCCCCTCCACTTCCCCAGCTTCCCACCTTTTTTCTGGACGTCGACGTTTGCTTGCGTCTGTGGCTTTTGTCCCCCACCCGACGCCCTTGTCCGTCGACTCTACAAAATGTGCGTGTCATATTCCGCAGATCTACAGAACTCTATACTTTCGACGGCACAATGAATTCTGCGATGAATTGAATTTTCGGGGATGGACAGAACCCCCTTTAGCAAAACGTGGTTTAGTGACAACGACCTCGGGCCCAAATCTGGCGGGCGAAAGCCTGGAAACTGACGGCCACGGCGCCCTCTCGAGAACCGAAAACGGACAATTCACTAATCGACGTGTCACTATTGGGGGTTCTGTCCAGCCCCGAAATTTGGAGTCGATCCACTGCTCGAAATCTTTCCCTCGTGGCCGCCCACGATGCCTGCGACCGTGACTAGAGGCCTCCTACGTAGATGGGGTCGGAGTAGATGTGGTCGGAAGATCGCGCCGCATCGCCGATGCATCGGCGATGCACCGGCGCTGCACCGGCAACGTCGGTGATGCACTGGCGACGTCGGCGTGAAGAAACTCGGGCTCCACGTCGAGACGCATCGCCGATGCGTCGGCGAGGCGGGGCGATCCTCCGACGCCATCTACTCCGGCCTCCTTCGGGTCGGGCGAAAAGGGGGGGATAGCAAAGGGGGGGTTTGAGAATCAGCTCACGTGGCTGATTCTCCCGGCGCCTCCCGGCGCCGGAGGCGGCCATGCATCGAGGAGTGGGCCCCTCGGTAAGGCCGAAACCAGCCGCATGTAGCAAATTTCGTAACCCCCCTTTCCCAATCCCCCCTTTCGTCCGGTCCGAATCTGTCTCGTCGCCCGAGGAGGAGGAGGAGGAGGAGGAGGAGGAGGAGGAGGAGGAGGAGGGGGAGGAGGAGGAGGACGAGGAGGGGGAGGGGGAGGAGGAGGGGGAGGAGGACGAGGAGGGGGGGAGGGGGAGGAGGAGGGGGAGGAGGAGGGGGAGGAGGAGAGGAGGAGGAGGGGGGGGGGGGGAGGGGAGGAGGACCTGCTGGCGGCCGTGCCGCTCCTCCCCCCGCAGGGCCGCGGCGGGGCGGCGCGGC